GAAGAGAGAGAGAGAGAGAGATAATCACAAGCATACAAACACTAGAACCACGCGCGCGCTTCGCGCGCGCTTAGGTTCTGTCGAGTCACAGACCCAGGAATCGTTGCGAGAAGAAATTGGTGACGCGAAGCGTCTTGGGGGCGTCCTTGGACGTCCGGGGTCTCCTGGGGCCTCTTGAGGGGCCTCCTTGGGGCCTTCTTGGGCTCCATCTGGAAGCCAAGATGGATGCAACAAGAGGGTGCTTGGGCTCTCCGTGAGCTATCCTCTGGTTTTCATTCCCCTGGAGAGGAGAAGGAGGAGGAGGAGGAGGAGGAGGAGGATGAGAAGGAGGAGGAGGAGGAAGATGCAGAGGAGGGAGGAGGAGGAAGGAGAGGAGATGTTGGGGCGCTCTTGGGGCCCTCTTGGGCTCTGTTGGGGTTCGTCGGGGCCCTCGTGGGGCCACCTTGGGCTCCTCTCGGAGCTCCAAGAGGAGCCCACAGAGGGGCCCAACATCGGTCACGCGAGAGCTCTTTCGCGTGACCGATGTTGGGGCCCTCTTGGGGCCCTATTGGGCCTCCTTGGGCCCTCTTGGGGTCTCGACGGGGCCCTCGTGGGGCCATCTTGGGCTCCTCTCGGAGCACCAAGAGGAGCCCAAAGAGGGGGCCCAACATCGGTCACGCGAGAGCTCTTCCGCGTGACCGATGTTGGGGCCATCTTGGGGTTCCTTGGGCCTCCTTGGGCCCACGTGGGGCTCCCTCGGGGCCCTCGTGGGGTCATCTTGGGCCCCTCTTGGAGCTCCAAGAGGTGCCCAAAGAGGGGCTCAACATCGGTCACGCGAGGGCTCTTCCGCGTGACCTATGCTGGGGCTCTCTTGGGTCCGTCTTGGGCCTGCTTGGGTCCTCTTGGGGTCTCGTCGGGGCCCTCGTGGGGCCATCTTTGGCTCCTCTCGGAGCTCCAAGAGGAGCCCACAGAAGGGCCCAACATCGGTCACGCGAGAGCTCTTCCGCGTGACCGATGTTGGGGCTCTCTTGGGGCTCTCTTGGGTCCCTCTTGGGCCTCCTTGGGCCCACGTGGGGTTCCCTCTGGGCCCCCTCTTGGGCCCGTCTTGGGGCCCTCTTGGGCCATCTTGGGCGCCTCTTGGGCCGTCTTGGGGCCCTCTTGGGCTGTCCTGGGGCCCTCTTGGAAGCTTCTTGGGCCGTCTTGGGGCGGTCTTGGGCGCCTCTTGGGCCGTCCTGTAACGTCGGAAAGCCCAAAAGACAACTTTGTTGAAAATGTACGTTTTACGAAGGGAATGGGCCAATTTTTGCGTCTAGGGGCCCTCTTGGGACGCATGTTGGAGGCTTCTTGGGCCTCTTGGGGGCGTCCTTGGACGTCTGGGGTCTCCTGGGGCCTCTTGAGGGGCCTCCTGGGGGCCTCCTGGCGGCCTCTTGGGGCGGAAGGCTCGAGCTTGCGGTTCGTGGTCCCCCTCTGGGCCCCCTCTTGGGCCCGTCTTGGGGCCCTCTTGGGCCATCTTGGGCGCCTCTTGGGCCGTCTTGGGGCCCTCTTGGGCTGTCCTGGGGCCCTCTTGGAAGCTTCTTGGGCCGTCTTGGGGCGGTCTTGGGCGCCTCTTGGGCCGTCCTGTAACGTCGGAAAGCCCAAAAGGCGACTTTGTTAAAAATGTACGTTTTACGAAGGGAATGGGCCAATTCTTGCGTCTAGGGGCCCTCTTGGGACGCATGTTGGAGGCTTCTTGGAGCCTCTTGGGGGCGTCCTTGGACGTCTGGGGTCTCCTGGGGCCTCTTGAGGGGCCTCCTGGGGGCCTCCTGGCGGCCTCTTGGGGCGGAAGGCTCGAGCTTGCGGTTCGTGGTCCCCCATCTGGGCCCCCTCTTGGGCCCGTCTTGGGGCCCTCTTGGGCCATCTTGGGCGCCTCTTGGGCCGTTTTGGGGCCCTCTTGGGCTGTCCTGGGGCACTCTTGGGAGCTTCTTGGGCCGTCTTGGGGCGGTCTTGGGCGCCTCTTGGGCCGTCCTGTAATGTCGGAAAGCCCAAAAGGCAACTTTGTGAAAAATGTACGTTTTACGAAGGGAATGGGCCAATTTTTGCGTCTAGGGGCCCTCTTGGGACGCATGTTGGAGGCTTCTTGGGGCGTCTTGGGGGGCGTCCTTGGACGTCTGGAGGCCATCTTCAGCATCTCGGAGCCCTCTTGGAGGCCTCTTGGAAGTTTCTTGGGCCGTCTTGGGCGTTTCTGGGGCCGTCTTGTCTGACCGGGAGGCCTCCGGCAAGCCCCGACGAGCCTCCGGGCCCCCCGGGGTGCACATTTGCGGTCGAGGTCCCGGCCCCGGGCCCCCGGACCCGGTGCGCCGTTATATGTATAAACGGGGGAAGAGAGAGAGAGAGAGAGAGAGAGAGAGAGAGACGGAAAGAGCGAGAGAGAGAGAGAGAGACGGGGTAAAAGGGATATACAGAGAGAGAGAGAGAGTAACCAAACAACTTTAACAAACGAGAAGGAGAGAGAAGGGAGAGATGGACAGAGAGAGAGAGAGAGAACAAAAAAAAACAAAAAAGAGAGAGAGAGAGAGGGAAAAGAAAGAAAGAGAAAGAGAAAGAGAGAAAGAGACAGACAGATAGACAGCCAAACAGACCGACAGGCAGACAGACTGTCATACAGCCACGAGAGCGAATGCGAGAACGAGAGCGGAACACGGGCAGTCGGCGGGGGAGGAGCGGGCGGGCTGCCAAGGCGGCCCCACAGCAGGCCACGGCCACGGCAGCGGCGGGCGGGCGCGCCTCGCGCGCAAGGCGGCCGTTTCCTCTTCCTCTTCCTCCTCCTCCTCCTCCGCCTCCTCCTCCTCCCCTTCCCCCTCGTCCTCGTCCTCGTCCTCGTCCTCGTCGTCGTCCTCCTCCTCCTCCTCTTCCTCCTCCTCCTCCTCCTCCTCCTCCTCCTCCTCCTCCTCCTCCTCCTCCTCCCCCTCCTCCCCTTTTCCTCCTCCTCCTCCTCCTCCTCCTCCTCCTCCTCCTCTCCTCCTTCCTCCTCCTCCTCTTTCTCCTCCTCCTCCTCCCCCTCCTCCTCCTCCTCCGCCCTCCTCCTCCTCTCCTCCTCCTCCTCATCCTCCTCTCTCCCCCCCCCCTCCTCTCCTCCTCCTCCTCCTCCTCCTCCTCCTCCTCTCTCCTCCTCCTCCTCCCCCCTTCCTCCTCCTCCTCATCCACCCCCCTCCTCCTCCTTCTCCTCTTCCTCCTCCTCCTCCCCTCCTCCTCCTCCTCCTCCTCCTCCTCCTCCTCCCCCCTCCTCCTCGTCTTCCATTCCTACTCGTTATAATTCGCTCCTTATTTTGTCGTACCACCGACGTGTCCGCAGGCGGGGCCGGGCGTTTCGCCTGAGAGTTCCTCGCCAAGTGTGATCATCTTGGTCGAAGTGTGCAACCGCTTCAGAAATTGAGTTCGGGTGGTCTTCAAATTGCGGCGCTCGCCTGAAAGCCGCGTACACTCGTTTCAAAAGCACGCAGCAGCTTCAAGGATGTAGGCTGGCTGGTTTTCAAAATGTGGCGATCACCGATAAGACGCGTGCACTCGTCCTAACAAATGAAACCATCAACATGGAGGCAAGCTATTTTACAACATGCGCATTTGCCGAAGCAATGCACATATATATATATATATATATATATATATATATACATACGTACGTAGATACATACAAACGTACAGACATGCATACATGCATACATGCATACATACACACACATACGTACGCACGCACGCACGCACGCACGCACGCACGCACATACATACATACATACATACATACATACATACTCCATCCCATCATGCATGCATTGCATGCATGCATGCATGCATGCAATACATACATACATACATACAATACATACATCATGCATACATTTACATGCACACATGTGTATATGTACATATATATATATATATATATATAATATATATATTATATATATTCTGTTCCTCCGAGGAGCCCTTTTTCCTCAGTGGCCAGACCGAAGGTTTGATCTGTGTGCTTACTGGTGCCCAGAGCTCTAGACGAGAGGATGCAATCAGGCGCCAGTCCTCGAGACCGACGGCAGTCAGCACAACACCTCGCGTAGATTTTGCTCCGCGGGTGGGCTCGGGGGGGAGCTTGAGCACAATCGGTAGCGGGCGTGCTGTGACGCGCGGCCCCCTGTCCTCAAGGCACTCTCAGAAAAGATTCACATGCGCGCATTGCCATCTGTTCCTCCGAGGAGCCCTTTTTCCTCAGTGGCCAGACCGAAGGTTTGATCTGTGTGCTTACTGGTGCCCAGAGCTCTAGACGAGAGGATGCAATCAGGCGCCAGTCCTCGAGACCGACGGCAGTCAGCACAACACCACAAAATCGGAGAACTCCGAAACCATATGTCTGGAGACTCGACTTAAAGGCGAGGGGCCACTTTAGAAAACATCCCCCGAAACACATGGTTCCGATGTGCACTGAGAAACGCACGAGAAATATGTACACACAGGTCACTTGGGTACGGTTCGGCGATAGCCGTGAGAAAACGGCCGGCCTTATCTTTACCGGCGAGTTCGATGTGGGGCTTACCTGAGAACGAGCAAATACCTCTACCACAGCACTTGAAAGGACGCAGACATGACAGGTCAGCATTAGCATAAAGGATTGCAGTGCGTTTTCGCCACGGAGTGCCGAAAGCGCAGAAGTCCACGGTTAAGCGCTGGACCCCGGACCGTTTCGAGACTCTCTCAGCCACAGGCTGCTTCCAGAGCCAGGAGGACCCCGGGTTTTCCAGGCCAACAGGGATCCCAAGGGACAGCGCTAACTCAAAAAGACTAAAACTGAACGCACAGAGCCTATTTCCTTGCAAAACTTTCAGAGCATCACTAGGCGACAATCCAGGGAGGCCCTGAGGGTGCGAGCTGCTCCTGAGCGGAGGGGGGCCATTCGGTCGGTTGCGCGCGAGCGACATCGACTGACAAGGCGTGCCCAACCACACAGCTGCCACAAGGCCTGACCGAAGCCATCCGCGAACAAGCTGCTGAACTCGGCGCTGCAGAAGGTCTGAGGCCGGGTCATGCTTGAGGTCCAGCTCAAAGGCGGCCAGGCGGCCGCGGGAGACACGCCGCCACGCCAGAGAGAGGCGCCCTGACCCGCTGAACACTTCCAGGAACACGGGTTGGCTGGCGTCCTCTACAGACCGAGCCAGATTCTGGAGAGGCGCCCGCCAATGGTGCCGACCAGGCGCGTGGCGCGGCGCTGCTCGGAGATCGGAAGCCGTCGCATCTGCTCTGCCACGCGGCCCCCTTTGGTGTAGCGCCGTAGGGACGAGTCCGACACCCACCTCCCCCTCTTTTTGATCTCGTCGAGGCTTCTGAACTTTGCGAGGTATTCGTGGGAGGCCCCCCCGTGTCGGAGGGTGTAGAGCGTCGGCGGCCCCAGGACGCCGAGGTGCAGCGCTGTCGCAGCACGCCTGAAGACCAGGGCCCACTGGTTGTAGCTCATGTCGAAGACGCGGCCGCCTGGCGCGGCTCGGGCCCGCAGCGCCTGCAGCAGCGGTGGCAGCCAGGTGAACTCCGGGCTGTCCAGAAGGAGGCCCTCGTCGTAGACTCCCGTCTTCGAAGGCTGAGCGCACTCCATCGGATGCAGGACCACCGACCAGAAGTTCAGGAAGGTTCGCCCCGGAGGGGCGCCCTCGGCAGGCGGGATCACCTGCTCGCGCGTCAGGCTGAGCAGCTCTGCCGGCCGAAGGTACAGCGCGAAGCAGACCGCCGTCGCCGCCGCCGCTGTCGCCTCGCCTGCATCCAGCATCCAGTCGATCATCAGGCAGGCAATCGGCCAGGGCAGCGGCAGCCGGGATCGGGGCGGTACCAGCCGGGCCCAGCCCTTCGCAGCACGAGCGGCCCTCGGGAAGGCCACCTGCAGCCGGCCGGGCGCCGCGCGGCAATGAGCCAGTGCCGCCATGTACTTCGTCGCCTCCTCGCTCGGGTAGCCGTCGAAGAACAGCTGGTTGAAGAAGGTCACCAGGGCGACGTCCAGCTCGGGCACCTCCCCGATCGGCAGCCGGACCGAGGTCGCCCACCTCGTGAACTTCGAGACCCTGTCGGCATAGTCCCGGCGGGTCGCCTCCCCCACGGCCTGCGTCTCCAGGAAGGTCAGCGAGCCCGAGGTCGCCGCCGTGGTGGCGGCGGGGAAGGCGCGCCTCCTGGCAACTCGGCGGTCCGCCTGGTCCCCCCAGGACAGCGCAGCTGCGCTCTGGGAGCGGCTCCGGCGCCCAAGGCGGGCGGGCGCTGGGGCTGCTGGAGCCGCCGCGGGCCGCCTGCGAAGGGCGCCCGACGGGCTGGCAGCAGACGCTCCCTGGGGCGACGACCGCTGGAGCATACCACGCCTCGGGCCTAGCACCAGGCCGGTTCCGTGATGCTGGGTCGGCAGAGTTGAACTCGGACGGCAGCCACCTCCAGTACGCCGCCGAGCCTGAGGCCAGCAGCAGACATGCCACCTGCCGGCAGACGGCGAGGAGGGCGGGCGCCGAAGACCGCCCCTTTGCCAGAGCCAAGATGGGGGCCATGGCATCGTTCAGCATTACGTGGGCCTTCCGAAAGGACCTCTTGGAGCGAAGCTTGTGCTTAAGCGCCATCACGCCGGACCTGGCCTCCAGGATGACCTGAGGGGCTGGGCGCCGCCAGGGCACCGAGAGGACCGGGTGCCAGTGGTCCCTCCAGATGTCGGGCGGGACCTCCTCGAAGCTAGGGTCCACGTCGGAGACTTCGGGCCCGTCCGGGACGGCCCCTGAGGAGCCTTGACCAGGGACAGCAGCGGCTCGGGGCCCAAGGCGTCGGCGCTCAGCTTCTCGAGAGAACCTCCAACGCTCGTTGTACCGGGCCAGACGCTTGACCGAGTCCTCAGAGACCTCCCGCTGGGTAACTCCAAAACCCCAAGACGACGCATCCAGGCACGTGAGGGTGGTGTCGAAGGGCAACCCGAGGTCCCTGCTGCAGAAGATGAGGAGAGCCCGAGCCCAGCGTAGTTCACGACGGACGACGGGCCAGAGCTTAGCGGTGCGATTGTGGCATACCTCCCCAAACTTGTAGACGGCCCCCAGGCACGAGAGGAGCTCCCTCCTAATGAGCACCCTGGACGTGATGTGCGAGACGATCCTCACCATCTCCTTTCCAGAACAGAACCCACGTCGGAGGACCTCCTGAATCCCAAGGTACAGCTTCCACCTAAGCCTGGGGTTGAGCGAGATCACGGGCGAGTTCGAGTCGAAGGACCAGCCAAGAGTCTCCCCGCCCACACCGCTCTCCACCCCGTGAGTAGGCAGTCCCACAGCACGCATATGATGATCGACCTGACGGGCAGCAGCAATAGCAGAGGCCTCCGATAGCGACAGCGCAACGAAGTTGTCGACGTATTCGGCATGAACAACGCCCGAGTCGACGACAGGGGCAGGCAGGCGATCCACCAGGACCCGCTCCGGCCTGACGAGGCCAGCACGCCGCGAGACAATCTCGTTCACTGACTGGCACAACCAAAGACTGAGACTGAATCCCATCGGAGGACACCTGAAGCACGGATGGACCCACTGCGTAGGCGCCACGGGCCGTCCATTCGCATCGACCGAGATCCCCAGTTCACCAGCCCTGATCTTAGGGAGCCCGAAGTACCGACGAAGCCAAGGTGGGAGCAACATGGTATAGAAGGCATCCGCGATGTCCACACCAGCGACACACACAGGCTCCCGACTGTCAACCCTGAGCTGAGAAAACGCGGCCCCAGTTGCCAGCTTCACTTTGGGGGGCTCGTCGAACAACTGGAACGGGATCCGGCCATCCAGTATGAGCCTCAGGGCCCCTGATTTCTTATAGACGAAGAACATTCCCACTGAGCTCAACGCTTCGGTATGGAACTCAACGAGGTGCGATGACACAAGACGGTGCAATACTTTCTTATATAAGCGAGGGTTCCTCAAGTTGGGATCCGAATACGCCCTCTTCGGAGCGTGCTCCGCGACCCGGGCAAGCCCCCGCTCACGGGGCAAAAGTAGTTCTTGAAGGCGATGACCAATACTCATGCTGTCGTCCCCGATGAGCGCAGACAAGGACTTCGGTTCGGAGCCCACGCTCGGCAGGGAGATCAGATCGACGCGGTCGAAGGTCACCGGCGCAATCACGGCAGACTCCTGGTCGTATGACTGCGCGACGCGGAGCTCCTCGAGGGCTCCTGCGGGAGTGAGGTCGGGCGGGGGCACTCCGAAGGCGTCGACGGCCTCCTGGATCACCGCCAGAGCCTCCTGCTGGGCGGTCGTAGGGCCAGTGAGGCCAGTAGCCCGCGGACAGCTCGAACCAGTGTACATCTCATTCATGGCGCGGATGGCGTCGACGACCATCTCGCGGCGGTGACTGGCCCTGTGGAGTCGCCTCTTAGTTGTGCGAGACAGGTCTGTAGCCACAAAACTACGCTCATCACCGGCGGGCACAGGAAGCGGAAAGAGATCCCGATGCCGTCGCTGACGAGCTGGCTGGGCCCCATGTACATCTGCAGCGCGGGAGGCCATATCCGCGAAGCCCCCTCGAGAGTCGCTGAAGGCGGTCGGGGAGTCCGCCTCCAGGCCCCGCTCCATCATGGAGCCAGAGCGCGGCGCTCTTCCTTAGCCTTCCTGATCTGCTTAAGGATTCCAGCGTCGCGCTCCACTTGTTTGGCCACGTGCTCCAGTAGTGCCGGAGCCACCATCATGCGGCCGTCCTCGCGGGCCGTGCCCGTGAAGACTCCCACCTCGTCCACGAAACCGAACTTCAAGAAGCCACCGCCGCCCCGGCTCTTGGGCTTGCCCTTCGCCTTCGCCTTGGGCTCGCCTTCGGTCGGACCAGCAGTTGAGGCGCCCGAGTCGCGCGCCTCGTACTCCATGGCGTACATGTACTCGTACAGCTGCGCCTGCCGCAGCATGACCTCGACGCCCACCACGTTGGGCAAGTCGAGGAGGTCCCACGTCATCAGGTAGTCGACCATCCGCATGATGGACTCGTAGTGCGTCACCCCGAAGTCATCGCGGGACAGCCGGTAGTAGGACACGAACTGGTGGAAGTGCTCGATGGCCCCTCCGCGCTTCCTGTCCAAGAAGCGGAGGCACCATAGCGTGGTCCTTGGGCCGTCCAGCGGCCAGTCGGGGAAGGGCTCCTCGCGGAGCCTGTCGACACTCTCGTGGAACTGCACGCGCTGCCGCGAGCCGTCACTAAGCAGGGCCACAGGCTGGAGGCGGGCATCAGCGAGGGCCTCGGCGCCTCGGTAGGCGGCCTGCGAGGTCGTGATCAGCCGGATGGCCGACCAGCTCCCGCCAGCGTCCTGCTTCAGGCCGATAGCCCCCCGGACGAGCTCCGTCCCGTCCATCGTGACAGGGTCCCCGCGCCGGGCCGCCGTCGTGGTCTCGACGTAGACCCACTGTCCGTCAGCCCCAGGCACGGCATTCGGCCCCAAGGGGCCTGCGGGAGCTCCAGCAGCGGCGAGCGGCGCGGCTGCTGCCGCAACTGGGGCGGCACCAGCAGGCGGTCCAGCCGCGGGCGCGGCGGGGCCAGCCGGCACCACAGCCAGCGCGGCGGCCACAGCTGCCCCTCCCCCGGCGGCAGGGGCGGCGGGGGCGGGCCCAGGCGCGGCAGCGCCACCAGCCGCGGCCGCGAACGTGAAGTAGACGGCAGCCCCCGCCGGAGGCACCACCCCGGGCCGCCCGGCCGCGCGCTCCGCGTCGAGGAACACGTCGCGGGCGTAGGCGTCCACCTCGTTCCTGATGGCCACCTCCTCGGCCGCCGTCAGCGCGCGCCGGAAGCGGTAGAGGTTCCCAACCTCCAGGCCAGCTGGCCGGGTGCGCCGGTCGTCCTCGAAGCGAACCGCAGCCAAAGTCCCATCAGACATGTCGTACAGCTCCTCGTATACATCGCCATCCGGCGTCGAGATCAGCACCCGCAGGGGGGACCAGCGGGCATCAGTCGGATCCTGAATCACCCGGCCCCACACGCGCCGCTGATGCCACAGCGGCGCGCCGGCGTACTGTGCCCACGCCCAACGGCGCACCCCCGGCGGCGCCTGCTCCTGCGCCATCCTTCAGGGCGGCGGGCGTCGGAGCCGGCCGCAGCCTCACCACGGCCGAGCCGACCAGCCTCACCCCGTGGAAGCTGAAGACCAACAGGTTGAGGGCGACCAGGAAGCAGGCCAGCCACCCGCCCGTCCAGGAGAGGCCCTCAGGCTCCTGGGCGACCGGCTGGGGCGCGGGCGCGGGCGCCGGCGCCTCTGGAGCCGCCGGACAGGCGGCCGGCGGGTGGAAGTGGATCGGCGCCGCCGCTGGGCAGGCTGGGCACGCCAGCGGCTGCGGGCAGGCGGGGCACGCCGGGCAGCGGGCCGACCAGCTCACGACCGTCTGCGAGACGGTGCCGACGAGCCAGTCCAGGTACCGCTGGCCAAACAGCCAGGCCATGGGAAGCGGGGGATGCGTCTCCCGGCGCGTCCGCGCCGGTGTCAGCTTGAGCACAATCGGTAGCGGGCGTGCTGTGACGCGCGGCCCCCTGTCCTCAAGGCACTCTCAGAAAAGATTCACATGCACGCATTGCCATATGCGCTTGCACTACCACTGCCCCCCTTTAGCCCCACTGCTGCCCTACACCACCGCTATTCTCAGAGAGCGGTACCAGCCAGTGTCTGCGCCGATGTGCCGGAAGGTTCGCGCCCTCACGGCAGAGGCCCACTTTGGAAAATATGCTGAAGGCTGAGTGGGCGGGAGCCTGGACAGTTTCGGAGCCGTAGGGTGAAAGCATAGGGGGACATGCTTGCACTCCCCCTGCCCTCCTCGAGCCCCACTGCTGCCCTACACCACCGCTATTTTCAGAGAGCGGCGCCAGCCAAGGCATGCGCCGATGTGCCGGAGGGTTCGCGCCCTCACGGCAGAGGCCCAATTTCGAGGATATGCTACGCTATCCAAGGCGGTGATACGGGGAAGGCGGAGGGTGTGCAATAGCAGAGACCTCGTCTCTGCAAGAGGGCACGCACTTGCAATCAGTGCGCGCATCAGGGGCGAAGGCGGAGCCTCTGCCGACACTGGCCCAGCAAAGGCTCGGCAACCGAGGCAAAGGGCCGGATGCGCTCGCGCACGGCTGATGGCAACTCAGGGAGCAAGCCGGCCGCTGCCACCTCCTGAATGTAGATATGTAAATCTTCATCGTGCGGCTGGCCTGCCAGCGGCCTCTCCACTGCAGCATAGGAAGGTCCTCCCAATACTCAAAGTGCCACGTGGCACCACCGGCTCTCAGGCTAGCAAGCGCGAGACCCACCCCGTCCGCAGTGGATGTGCCCAACACCCTTGTGATATTGTCGTGTACTGCTGGGAATTGCGCTGCCGAGCCTGCCCGAGGTCGCTCTCCGGGGGCAAGTCTGGCGAACCACGCCTCCAGGAACGGGACCGCGATGTCATCGGCCACCCGGGCGCGCTGCAATCGCGCAGCCTTATTGCGCGTCCTAGGCTCGCGGACCCGCACGTAGAGGCGCGACGCAGTCGACAGCAGGTCAGCAGGCAACAACACGTCCTCCCTCACGAGTTTGATCGGCCCCCCCGGCCGCAGCAAAGCCACGAAGCCCAATGGCAGAAAGGCTGCTACGTCATGCCACCACCGCAGCAATGCAACCGACACTGCGTGCAAAAAGCACGGGCACGACGGGCGCCGGGCGGTGGCGGCAAGCAGGCGACAACTCCTTCCAAACCCAGGCCGCGTCCCATGCAAGTTGCAACAGCCACTTAAGATGTCAGCGGAGGTCGGTCATCCCGCCGACGGTCTCGACGCAAACGCCCAAGGGGCGCTCGATGTCAAAGATATTGCCCGTACGTTGCCAACGCACGAGACACGTCGCGAGGCTCTCCCTCTGCCAACTGGTCAAAGGTGAGGTGCAATGTGCATTCCAACAAACGTGTGAACTCATGCAGAAACGCTCCCACCTGGAGATGGCGGCTGGTTGGAGAAGTCTCCGAGCGGCCAGAAGCGCGCCGCTGCGAGGAACAAGTACTGGCCCCCGCGGTCCCCCACCTGGAAAACCGAAAACATTGTCGAATAGCCCCCCACTCCAAGGCCAGGCAGCCCTGGGTTCGGGCACCACCCGCTTGAAGCACTTCCTCGCCCAATCGCTAGATCCCAAGGTCTGTGTCGGCAGTCCGGCCCAGCGGCCGAAAGCGCAGCAGAATTCAGCTCCTTCGCTGCCGAGCCATGCACGTCCATCTCTGCACCGCCTCACCTGCTGCGCCCGCGTCGGGTCGTCGGCCACGCTGCGCCGGGTCGGGCAAAAATGCGCTCCCGGGTAATGGTCGTAGCCCACTGCGCGCGAAACCAAAGCCCGCAACTCCTCGATCAAGTACAACGATGGCGTTGCGACCTCCCCCGTGGCCAGTGCCCCAATGGCCACCGTCGAACCCAGACAACGCGTCGCTCGCGAAGCGGAACATTTACGAGCCACTCGTTTCATATCCTCCCCGTAGGCCCTCATCTACTCGATGCTGATGCGCGCGCCGAGGTCCGCCCTGTCCTTGGCGAGCACCTTCGAAGGGGCCGCGCTCGTGATCTCGTCGACGAGCAGGTATTCCAAACCTCCTGCTGCTGCAAAGGTTGCGCGGGCCCCCCCATTGGGATAGTCGGCCGGGTCGCCCGCGAGCTCGCAAATGCCCCTCAATCTGGCCGCCCACACTCCTGTCGACAACGCCTCCTGCCCTTTCGATCCTGGGGCCAATCCTCTCGGGGCAATCCGTTCAACTCGATGCCCCACCTCCCGCTCGAAACCTCCTCCTTCCCCATGCCGACGCGGAGGGCGACGGAGCGCGTCAAAACGCCGCGCAACCCCGCAACCCCCCAGCGCGGCACCGCCACGAGCCGGGACTCACGCTGAGAATCGCCGCGTCCAACGCCCTCCTCCGCGCGCGACTCCTCAGGGACAGGAAGGCTGATGCAGTTGCCCCGCGCCGCTGCCGGAGGCAAGGGCGGGCGCCCCCAGGGGCGCCTGGCGCCCTGGCAACGGGGCCCAGGAGCACGGCTGAATGCGCCTCCTGACGCCCGCATGGTCCGGAGCCGCGCCCAGGCATGGTGCGCCAGGAAGAAAAAACACTCCTGCAGTCTCTCGTTAGCCATGCCCCACAGCTCGGAGTGGCTGATGTCGGCGACGGGGCCGCCCCGCCGCCGCAGCTTTCCCAGCTCCTCGCGGGGCCCCAACTCCGCGTCGCTGAACAGCGCCACGGAGTGCAACTTCTCCACCAGAGTGCGCACGGTGTCGCGAAGGCGCGCACTATTCGAGAGAGCGTTCACTTTCTCCTCAACATCGGCGATGACCCTCTCGCTGCCGTTGGCCATCAATAGCTCCCCTTGCCGGCCAAAGGTGCGCGGGCAAGCCGCGGCGGGCCCGCGCGCGATACAAGTTCCTCTGGAGCCGGGGCCCGGCCGGCGCCCCCACGGACCGGGGCAATGTGTCCGACGCGTCTGAAGCAACGGCGCATGGGGCAGGCGCAGCTCGAAGGTTCGCGGCCACGGGGGGCGCCACGCAGGCGATCAGCAAAAACTCCCGGCGAGCTGCCCCACTCAGCGCGAACGCGCGCGCACCGCCCTTTGGGCCCACCAGCAGGGAGCATCAGACATGCAGCAGAAGGCACATGAAGGGGCGTCTGAAGAGCACCGCGAAGAGCCAGGAGGAGACAAGCATCCGCGCGCTGCGATCTCGCCTGAAAGCTCAGCTAGCCTCCATCGGCGAACACGCTCAGCGGCAGCGCGCCCTTCATCGCCGAGGATTTCGGCCCCCAGGGGAGCGCCCTGTTCGAAGCGCGCCGCGTCGCTGCAGGAGAGCGCCGCGCGCCTCGGCGGCGAAGTCCGCGGCGCCGGTGCCCCCCGCAACAAGCGAGGCTGCGCAAGGGGCCAACGCGTCCGGCAAGTCACCTGTGAACCTCTCGGCGGCCCTCATCCCTGACACCTCCGACGGCCTCAACGTCGCTGCCACAGCATCGGCGCGGGCCCTGGCCGCGGGGGCACGGTGGGAAGGGCATGTGCCCACGGGGTCTTCCACGAAAATGCGGATAACCCCAGCAGGCCCCAACTCGCGCTCTGCGAAGCCGCGCCCCGCGGGCAGGTTTGCGGACCCCCCCTCGAGATGCGCCGATGCGCTTCGAACGAGTGGCGCGCCCGTCGGCCCCGAACTGCTCGGTCCTCGACCTCGCCCTTGCACGCGCCGATGAGCTGCGCGCGCCGCGGTGGCGGCGCCTCCTCGGCAGTCGCCAAGTAGAGGCGCCCGGCGCGATCAAATTGCCGCAGGAAAACGAAAATTACCCTCCCCCCACATCGCCGTCGGGCGCGCGGCAGCGCGGCGGCGGCTGGAGGCGCCGCGACCTCCAGCGATGACGGGTCGAGGAAACAGGCAGCTTTGAGGCGCCCGAGTCGCGGGCTGGGTTGTAACCCGCATCCGCGCTGGGCAATTTCGCGCGCAGGGCGACAAAATTCCACCCCATAACGAAGCTTCGCGGGCGCCGGCAATTTGTCGCACGGTCTCGCTTGCCAGATTCTGGCCGCGCACTCGGCCGCAGCTTCAACCTTCGCCGCCCCGCGGCTGCCCATGGCGATGGGCGGGCGGCGGCTCGGCTCAACCTTCCTCCTCAGCTCGGCCACGATGCACGCGCGCTCGCGGCCGAGGGCCCGCCCGCCCCCCGCGCCGGGCGGAGCCGCCCCGCGCCCTCGCAGCGCCGACTGGGAAAGCACCCCCACGATGCAATTGACCATGAGGTCGGTGGCGCGCGGCGACGCCGCCGTCGCCGACGGCGTCGAGAGCGGGGGGGCGCGCCAGGCCCCCAAGGGCGCGGAGGCGAACGCGGCCGAAGGCCGGAGCTAGAGACATGTCCCCGGCGAGAGTCACGTTCAAAACTGCCGCGGTGCCGGGCGGCCCCCGCAGAGGCCAGCCACGCCCCGAGCGCCGAGCGCGAGCTGCGGGGGCGGGCCGGGGGCAAACAGCGCCATTCGTCCGAGCGGCGCTTCCGAGACTCCTGATCGCCCCCTGCGATGCCCAGCGAGCTCCTGAATCCAAGCGCAGAGCAC